ACCGGAGCCGCTCCGCCGCCGGGGGTGTGCGGGGGGGCGGCAGCGCAGCCCCGTCCGCCGTCGCCGCATCCCCGGCCTTGCGGGCACCCGCGGCCTCCTGTGCCGCCGGGGGACGCCTCCCCGCTGGACCGGGCCTGGCGTTGGGGAGGGGTGCCGGCCGCCGGTGGCTTCCCCTCTGCCTGCCCCGGGGACTCACTGACACCTCCGTCACCTTGCCGGGCACGGAGTGCGGGTGGGCCGGGGTGCGGGCCCTGTGTGGCCCTTCGTGGGCCCGGCTGCCCGGTGGGGCTCTGGGCACTCAGAGCCGTGCCCGCCCGGGGCCGGGAAGGCAGAGCTTGTCCCCGCTGCCCCTCCTGCCCTGGAGGGGGGCACGGGTGGCGTGGGGTGGTCCTGGCTGCCTGGCACCGGTGGAAGGGGGGTCTAGGGACCCAGGGGGTTGTCCCTGCGCCACTCTGGGTTCTCCTCGCTACCACCCTGCCAGCCAGGCTGAGATGTGGGAGGGTGAGGGATCCTTATGGTGGAGAAACCTACATGGTCCTCCCAAACCTCTGCATCGCAGCAGTACTCGAGTTTCCAAAAGCAGGCCCGCTGTGCCAGCACCTTCAGCTTTTTCCCTGGCTACAGCTGATACGGGGTATGTAATCAGGTACTTTCACACACAGCCCAACAGCTGTTGCTGCAGGATGGTGGTGGCATGTATGTATATAGGCTAATTGTTTCCTAGTTAGATGAATTTGAAGTTAATGGAAAGAGCTTCAGTACTACTATGCAGTCTTTGTTGTCCATTGAGTCTGTTGTCATCACCAGAAAACTTTAGCAGTTGCAGAGTAACTGGGATATGATGTACAGGAGTGTGTCCGTCACAGGGCTGATGATTAAGAGACTGGAGCATCTGTCATACAAAGGGAGGCTGTGAGTGCTGGGGCTGTTCAGCCTGGATAAGAGGATCTCATTGCTGTGTGTAAATATCTGATGGAGGGAGTAAAGGAGATGAAGCCAGGCTCTTCCCATCTCCCTGCGATGGGAGCAGAGGCAGTGGGCACACATTGAAGCACAGAAGGTTCCATTTGCACATCAGAAAGCACAGGTAGCTCATAGAGGTTGTGTAACATCCATCCTTGGAGATACTGAAACCTCATCTGGATGAGGTCCTGGGCAGTCTGCTCTGGCTGACACTGCTAGAGCAGGGGTTGGGCTGTGCAATCAGCTTCAGCTCTTTTATGCATTTGGCTCATGTTGTCTGAACTGAAAGTAGCATGTTTGCATTATAAAACGGATGCTCTCTATTATTACGGTGAGTGTTGACTGTTTCATGCACCATCATAGGACGAAGGAAAAGATCTGGGGTGCAGATTGAAAGCAGGAGGTGACTCAGCCTACTGACAGTCACCTTTTCCTGCTCCCCGTACCCTGCTAGTGCTTGCTGGTGCCAGGAAGGCAGGGCTGGGAACATGTGTGCTCCTTCAGCACGAGGTGTTTTTTAAATGTGAGTAGAATTATTTGTTTGAGGGTATTTTCCAAATTGAAGTAAAGGATTATTTCTTATTATTTGAGTGGTTACAAGCAGGCTGGGTAGGGAAAGGACTTTGGTACCTCCTAGTAGGGTAGAAGCAATGATATTCAAAATCTTTTGCTCCCACCTTCTCTGCTGTATTATATATAATACCTCCTATACTGCCCGTGGCTGGTTATCCCTTACAGCGGTGTCCGCGGGATCTCAGGACTGACCCAGAAGGGTGTCCTACTGGTTAAACTTTTGGTCGGCATGGGTCACCAGCCCTTCTGGAGAGGTTGTAGCATGCTGTCCTGACAGCTCTTCACAACAGTGGTCTTCAGTAGGTGCTTGGTGCTGTGCCTTGGTGATGAGGACGCTGGCTGGCGGTGACCCTGGGAGCAGATGTCTCCAGCTGGAGGCGAGGGGAAGGCCCTGCTCATGGAGTGCCCTCTCCATACACCCTTCCCTGGCCTGTCTCCTAAATAAACACCAGCCATCCCCACCTCGCCTGGGCTGGTAGCTCTCTGAGGAGGAGCTGTGCCAGGGCGTTCTCCAGAAGCCTGCGCAGAGGAGCGGGGTGGGGATGGATTACTCCAAGCAGGGGTTTTCCTGCTGTTGGAAAGAGGTGCATCCCTTCATCTCATCACTCGAGGGTGTAGGTGTGGTGGGACAGCCTCCAGAGCAGCCTCCAGAGCTGGTGTGCGGGCTGCCTTCTCACCACAGGATTGCATACACAGACCTCCATGCAGAGACTTGCTGGGGCACAGGGCTGTTCCTCTACCCAACAGGAGTAGCTACTGTAATCTCTTGGCGCTTTTAAGAAAGTCCATCCAGGCCCAAGTGGCTGGATGTAAAGTGACTGAGCTGGAGGTGACCTGGGTGGTGGGCCCCATGGATGTGGGCTGGTGGAATATCTCCCGTGTGCAGCACCGCGGTGGCTGATGTGGTCTCCTGGGGAGATTTCCTCCTCGTGCTGCAGAAGGGCTCTCTCTCTGGCACACAGGCATGGGGTGCTTCCTGGCGCCGTCTCAGCCAGGAGGGGGTGGATGGTGGGTGCGAGCGGTGCCCGGCAGAGCTGGGCAGGAGCACGGATGGAGGGCGAGGGGACAGGTACCCCCAGGATGGGTAGTGTGGCCACCCCAGGGGAGCAGGTGAGTGTCTGCGTGACACCGGTAGCTTTTGAGCCACACCTGTGGGACAGAGGGAAGAGGAGGAAGAAGTAATGGGAGCCTTAACCAGAACTGTGCTTTGTCTTCAGAGCTCATCTCCAAGTGCTGCTGAAAATGGCTCGGACCCTGACGAGGAGCCTCTTCTCAGAAAAAACCCCCGCCGGTTCGTCATTTTCCCCATCCAGTACCCAGACATCTGGAAAATGTATAAACAGGCTCAGGCCTCCTTTTGGACAGCAGAAGAGGTGAGCCCTGGGGCCAGTGGGTTGGGACAAGGCGCTCAGACCAGGCTTCTGGTGCTTCCTTCCTCACTCCACTGCTGGCTTCTGTGTTCTAAGGCTTGGAGTTAATTTTGCAAGGAACACGAGGTGCCTGCACCAGAGCAGGGCTCCTTTCATGGACAGTGGAAAGAGAGCTGCTTCCACAGGGCGATTCAGCAGAGATGGTTTTGGTGTCTGGTTTCGGATGGGGTGGAATTGTATCCTGGGGTGCCTCCCTGGTTATAGAGGGAACCTGAGTCAGATAGCTCTGATTTTTGGTCAGGTAGCTCCTACCTTGCTGTGGTCTCTGTACCTGCAACTAGCTTCATGCCCATGTAAGATGTTCTAGCGCATTTCATGCGAATGCTAGGCACCTATTTTTCAGAAAGACAGTGATCATCAGAGACACTTGCTAAAAATGCTTCTAATTGACTCCTGATTGCCCTGGTTAGATGCTTGCTCCATATTACAATGCAAGCTGTAAGTTGTTCCTGAGGTTGCTGGTCAGCCAGGCCTGAGCAGTCAGTACTCAGCTCGCTGTGCTTGCAGCAGCAGAGGCTTTTGAACACTCTGCAGTGATCTGGAGAGATTACCTGCCAGCTGAGGTGGTGGTTCTGACTCAAAGCTTCTGCAGCCTTTGCTCATTTGTGAGCAGCCAGCTGCAATTGCAGAGCAGTGAGCTGAAAGCTCTGGCAGGCTCCAGATAGGCCAGAAAGCATCCTGGGGTGGCGAGGAGCAGCTGTCTGCAGAGGTGCTGTTCTACCACCTGCCTGGGAGGCTCGCTGCCCTGTAGTAGAGATTGCTATAAACCGTTAAAGAAAAGGCATTTAAACTCCTGCCTGATCAGCGTTGCCCTTTCACCGTATTACTGGTTCCTTCTTACACCGTCCCACCATCTGTCATTGCATTTCCAAATGAACTGTGAAGTTAATGGTAAAACTGGTTTGGGTGTGTATATGTTTATATACACATGTATATGTGTACATATTTATAGACACACACATAGAAGTTCTTAGCTTTCTGTATTTTTCACATCTGTCCCTACTTAACTGTTGCTGTGGTTCAGAACTCCCTCCGAACAAACAAGCAAACAGAAAAGGCCCATCCAAAGGAAGTTGTGGTTTTCTGCTGTGGCTGAAGCTCAGGCGGGTAGACGAGAGCAGTTGCACAGTGTTCACCCTGAGCTGTTCTTTGGCAGGATGGAGGCTGAACACCTGCCAAAGGCAGAAGTCCCCTCAGTCCATCTTTTGGCACACCTGGGTATAGGTTTCTTGGAGTATCAGCATTTGTTTCAAGTAGAACTTAAGTGTCTCAGAGCGAGCTCTGCTTATTGGTGCATGTTCATACTCATGACAAGAAGATACTAATGCTTTTCTGATTTATAATTCAGTAAACACTGATTTTTATTCCAATTTACAAAAGTGTAAACTGCAAAGCAAACACGTGATGTTACTCTTGCAGGGGGAGACAGCAGTACTGCAGTGTGTCTCTCGTCTTTTACACTCACATGTATTTAAATTCTGTACATGTAAAGATTTGAAAGCAAGCACTAAAACTCTGCCTCAGTCATTTGACTGGGCTGCTTCTGTTCTTGCAGAATGACAAACTCAAAAGGATAATAACGTTTTTCTTTTTCTTTTCATTAGGTTGATTTGTCAAAGGACCTTCCTCACTGGAACAAGCTGAAAGCAGATGAAAAATACTTTATCTCGCATGTTCTGGCATTTTTTGCAGCCAGCGATGGAATTGTAAATGAAAACCTGGTGAGAAAGCTTTATGGAGGGCTTGAATACTCATTTTATTGGCTTTCATTTTGGTTTTCTCACATTAATGCATAAGCTTATTAAATGTGTACTTTTTTTTCTTCCCATCTTCTCGCCTTTGTGAAGGGGAATAAGCAGCATATTCTGCTGGGGCCAGTGTCTGAGTTAAACTGGGACAACTGTGGTCAGCAAGACTCCAGATAAATCACTGTGGGATGCAGTTTTTAAGCTCAGCCTCCTGCCTGGCTGTGTTGATCCACATTTCTCAGTGAACTAATAGCACCCCCCACTTCTTCCTGTACTTGTGTTAGGTGAGAAGAAGGGAGGGGTTGTGCCGTGCCATGCTCTGTGTTCTTCATTTTGGTAAAATCTGTTTTGTTCTGACTGAACAGCATCCTGGAATCTTTTAGTGCTGCAGGTGGGTTCTGCTAAAAAGGTGGGGAGGCCTTTCTGCTGAAATCCGTTCTGGGCTGCAGAATGTCTCACCACAGGCTGTCAGTGGTATCTAACTGCTAATCCCCAGTTTAGGTCTCGAATGTCTATAACGTGTAGAATATGTCATACCACGTGTGCATATATTGCATGAACACGTCTTATGTCGTACTGTTTATTTTTTTAACTATGAACAGAAAGTTTGAGGCTTTGTTCAATATGAAGTGTTTACTGTTGCAATATATTTCTGTTCTCTTCCTGTGTACATGTGCCCTCATGGTTCACAACAGCTCTCTGTCCAATATGCACAGCAGATGCATTTACTTCTAAGAGGGTTGCTTTGTCTTCTTCTGCACCGCACCTTCCTACTGACATATCTGTGAATAAAGCAGGGCTGAACTGCTCCCACCCTTTCTCCTTGGTAGAGATCTATTGTCCCTCCCGTTAAGCTTAGAGTATTGTCAGGAAGAACTGGTTTTACTGTACTCATTGCCATGCTTTTTGGTTTTGATAGGTGGCACGTTTCAGTCAGGAGGTGCAGATCCCAGAAGCGCGTTGTTTCTATGGCTTTCAGATTCTCATTGAGAACGTTCACTCGGAGATGTACAGCTTGCTCATAGACACCTACATCAAAGATCCTGAGAAAAGGTAAACCTCTGGGTGTGTTACAGACCCGATCTGTCACCTAGTTCAGTGGCACTGTTGTTGGGCAGCAGCAGCACCTGTCTCCTGTTTCATACTGATGTCCTGGGGGAGTTGGGGACGGTTCCTTAAAGCTTTCAAGGCCTCTGTGCCTGACCCCCAAAACGGAGAGAAGTATTACTGACCATCAGACTTGTGCCAGAGTGTCAGAAGATGAGTTAATATTTGTATAAATCTTTGATTACAGAAGTGCTGACTGTGTGAAATGTTAAAGCTTAGATGAGCTCCTTATGGTTATTGTGCTCCTGACGTCCTTGCTCTCACATGAGTAAAAGATCTGCCTTGGGAAATTGAGTGCTCGTGATCCCACTGCTGTTTCTAATACACACAAATCAACGTGTTGCATCCTTTCAGCTTTTTTATTGTCAGTGCTTTTTCATACAACTTGAACTGGTTATTTTTAAAGTATTGGGTTCTTTGGAGAACCCCATCACCTTTGTCTGGAGAACTCCTTAGTCCAAATGTTAATACAATTGAAAAGAAGCACTTTTCCTTAGAGACTCCACCATGGTAATGGTCAGGCAGAGCTTGGTTTCCCACAGTGGCATCCTGTGTGGTGACAGTGGGAGGACAGATGTTTGGCATGGGAACAGAGCCTGTGCTCATGGGAGTTGTCCAGTTCCTTTTGTGGAGTTGGGCAAGATGAGGTTTAGCTCCGTGGGTAGGAAGTGGCTGCCATCTGGCTTGAAGTCTTGAGAGGCAGCATGGTCTGGTGGGTGGGCACTCCTGGGATGGGACGTTTGAGTTCACTTCCCATCTCTGCAGCTCGTCTCCTCTGAGACTTTGGGTCTCTTTCTGCACATCTGCCCCCCCACGCCCTCATTATCCAAGATCATCACCCCTTTGGGGTGGGAACTGTGTCTTACTTGGGTTAGTTCAGAGCTTCACATAATGGGTTATTCTGCCTGGTGCAGCCAGTAGGGACAGCCAGGGCAGATTTACATAAATCACTTCTTGTTATTTTGATCTTTTCTCTTTGTTTTCTTCTATAGGGATTTCTTATTTAATGCTATTGAAACAATGCCTTGCGTCAAGAAGAAAGCAGACTGGGCTCTGAAGTGGGTTGAAGACAGAGAATCCACTTTTGGTGTGTAGCTTCTTAAAAATTTGCTTCTGTTTCACGTCACAAACTAGTCCTCTGGGAGTGAGCTGCGTCCCTGGAAAGTGAAATGAAATTCTCCAAAGATGATGTAGTGGCTTGTTTGGTGTCTGGTTTAACTAAAGAACTAGAAGTAACTTCTGGTGAGCATGTATGCTTTTATCTTCAGCTAAAGCAATATAGTAATGGCAGTGCCCACTAGGATCATGTTCTGAAAAATGCTTGTAGGTTTCTCTGTCTTTTTTTTTTCTCTTTATGCCAAACAACCCTAGTTTCTCCCATTTTTGCTTGTAGACCTTCTTTTCTAGGATTTCTGATTATTTCTTCCAGTTGGCTCCTGGTTTGTACTCCAGTGTTCAGAACTGGGCAGTTGAAGTCTTGCAAGGCCAGGCTTTTGCTGTGTTCACATTCATACAGATAAATTTGTGTGTGATGTTAGCCTTTTTTTTCGTAACAGCATCACTGAGCCTGGGCAAAAAGGATTCAAGGATCATTTGTCTCTGGTGTTTATGGTTTGCTGTTGGGAGCAGGCTTCTAGTTGTTATATCTCATCCCAGAGCTGGGATGCTGGTTCAGCTTCCATCAGCACGGTGAGGACATCCTCACAATTCAGCTTACAATGTTGACCCTGAAGGATATGTTGTAGCTGAAACGAGTAATGGGCAGGCTCTGGTTGTTTTTCTAAACCAAACATCTGTTCTTGGAGAAGGTGTAGGAGATGGAGAGATTCAGCCAGATGAACAAAATAAATGTCATTCTTTTGCACCATCTGTTGTTCGTAGCTCTTGTTTGAGTGGGGTTCTTTTTGTAGCTGTAGATTCTTTTGTCCTGGGGTGTCCTGCTGCCTCCCCATTCTGGCTTTGCTTGCTGTGTGTGGGGTCCCTTCTTCATCTCCCTCATTTGGCTCCCAGCAGTGTGGGGTGTGCCAGGAATCAGAAGGTTCCCTAACTCAGAAAGCAATGTTCCTCTCACCTCCTGCCCCCAGACTTTGTGCATCCTATCCAAATTTTTGTAAAGTACATTTCTGTTCTTCTGGTTTTTTCATCTCATTGAGAACTTCACAAGTTTAAAACATTTGGGGGGCCCGGGTCTTAGAGTTATGGGTTATGAGATATGGTATATGAACGTGGCTGGCTGGCTTGTTTGCTTGGTGTTGCCTTCCAGCCTGGGGACCTGGCCTGAGGCTGCATCTCCACAGCCTTGGTTGATTTCTTATGCTGAGGGTTCCATGGCGGTATGTGTTCTGTGGACCCAGCCCCTGAGTGTGCACTCACATTATATATAGTGCTGCTGGTGGGGGATTTTTGTTTCAGCATAACTCGTTTGTAGGATAGCTGGACAGGTGATTTTTGGTGTTGCCAGACAAATTCTTTCCTTAGTAACTTCTGTGATACTTTTAAGTTTGTGCTGCTCTTTGTGCTTTTTTCCTAACTTGAATTTCTTCAGATGAGCCAGCAGATGGCATTTGCATCTCGTAGAGAATTGGGACATCTGTCTATTTTGGGGTTATTTTATTTTTTAAACAAAATTCTATGCAGTTCTTGCTGGGAAAAGACACCAGCACTCAATGCAAAAGCTCTTCATGTTAGAATATACCCAAGGATCTTCTGAAGTTGTTTAGAATAGAGTACGTGGAATGCCTCATCTTCACCAATCAATCAGATGGTCTTGTAGTCTGAAGAAATACATTCTTGTAGAGAACAGGGAGAACTTGGACCAATAATGCTGTGCTTTCCTTGGATGAAAGGTGGAGTAACAAGTGGGATAACATAAATAGTTATTTGTGGCAGTTTCAGTGGGTGCCCAGGTTCTTCAGTTCTGCTGGGGTTGCCTGTGGTTAAATGCTGTTGTGTGTGCAGACCCTGTCTGCCTGGGGATCTGCTGAAAGATGTGGTCGGATGCAGCACCAGGTGCTGCAGTGGGGATTCCTCCTCTCCCACATGGGTCTGTCTGACGCAAGTGGTGCATCTCGCTGACAGCAGTACACTGGTTTGTGTCTAACTGAAAATGTCTTGTGTTAAACAGGTGAGAGAGTGGTTGCCTTTGCTGCAGTTGAAGGCATCTTCTTTTCGGGTTCCTTTGCTGCTATATTTTGGCTGAAGAAGAGGGGCCTGATGCCTGGACTCACTTTCTCCAATGAACTTATTAGCAGAGATGAGGTAATGTGTCATGTCCTACATAATGTCTGGGAAGGAGAGTGAGTTTCCAGGGGAAGGGCAGACATATTCATAAAGCTCCTGTAACCTTGCCAGAGAGGCCCACCTCTGGTGGCAGGGAGGGTTGGGGGGAAGGTGAAGAGAGCAGAGAGGAAAAGAGAATCCAGCAGTGAGGAGGAGATGCATTTCTGGGTACCACAGAGCTTTTTTAACGTTGACAGTACTCAAGGCCAAAGAGGTGGCAGAAGTCTGAGTAGGTTCTCTGCTAGCCAGCGTCAGCAGCAGGGTTTTCCAGGGAAGGTCCACTGTCCTGGTTACCTGCCAAGTAACTGCTGGCCATGCTCCCTAGAGCTTCTCCTGCAGTAAACCTTCTGTGTCTGCTTTACCATCACCTCCTCGGCAGCGCGGAGAAGAGATTTCCTTTCCCTAGAGCAGTGCCCAAACCTGTTCCTGCAGCCTGACAGAGGAGCTGTAACTGCTGGCATGTAGGACGATTGGAGTCCTGCAAAGGAGCAGGCTATTCCCAGAATATTTGTAAAAAGGGGAAAGAAGCAGGTTTCTAGGTATGAATTACTAATGAACTTAAAGCCTAGGTGCTGCTGTGTCCCTCAGCAGAAGTACCTGTTTTTAAGAGGAGTCAACTTAAATATTAGCAATATCCCAATGCATAGTATGAGCAAAAAAGGTGGACTTTTTAGATTGAAGGGGACACGTGTTCTACGGTGCCAGGAAGGGAGGCGAAGGCCTGGCTGCCCAAGGACTGGTGTGGAATTGGGGGGTCCCCACCTGCAATGGGGGCTGGCCTGGTCGTTGCTCCCAGCCTCGCTCTGCCTTCACCGCTTCCGTCAGGTTCAAGTGGCCTCCTTGTCCCGTTCCCCATCTGCCCCTAGCTGGGGGTCCCAGAGCTTGCAGATGGCCTTCTGCATCTGTCTGCTGGCCAAAAAAAACTGCAGCTGTGGCAGGTTGCTGCAGAAGCAGCAGGTACTGTCCCTCTCCATGTTCTTGTGTTGCTGCTCAGCGACAGCATCTCCTGGGAGGGGGTAGCTGCAGGCCTGCGTTAGAGGGGAGGGCTTCTTAGCTCAAGATGTGATGTGTCTGAGGGGCTGCATGTCAGCACACCCAGTGTGGCCGGCCACGTGCTGACAAGTGCCCTTCCTTTCACTGCCTGCCAGTTGGCAGGGGCTGCTTAGGGTTGGGGCCTGTCTTTAAGGCACCTCACAACTCACGGCACTGTCAGCACGAAAAAGCAGGAAGACCAGTTTCGTATGTGGTATAAACATGCTCGTGCTGTGAACTCACCAGAGTTGGACTAAAAGAATAAAGAGCTTTATCATAATGGAAGTAATTTCCGTGGATTAGATACACTGATTTGAAAGTAGGCATCTTACAAGATGCCTTTAATTTAAAAGAAACTTGAAGAAAGCGATATGATCAGTAAGCAAAACCCAATAGTTCTTCAGCCTTGACCTTCCTTGTGTCATCTGTTCCTGTGAGTCATCATGAACTGATCCGTTCAAGCGAGGAGGTGTTTGTTTGTTAGAAGGATCATTTGCAGGTGAACGAGATGCAAGTTCCTCTGCACAGCAGCGTAACTGTAACTTCTCTGCAGAGCTGAGGACCAAAAGACTGAGGTTTTTCTTGAGCTCCGCTGGCATAATTCCAACACAGAGCTGTTATGAAGGGTAAGGCTTGGGGCACGCAGCACCTGCACCAAAAGCCAGGAAATGCAGTTAGAAAAGCAGTGGCCATAAAAAGAATCCACAATGGAAAACTCCACAAACTGTTTTCCGATGTGCCCGAACAGATAAATGGTTAATGCTCGATATGTTTTTTGAGCTGTAGGCTCCGTTCCCAGGCTGTTCTTTGAGCTGGTGCATCTCTGATTCTTAAAGGTGCAAAGGTGCTGGGAGCACCAGGCTCAGGTGAGAAGCCAGACACGTCCTGCATCCTGCTGGTGGTGTTACCCTGGTCAAAACCACGGGAAGCCCCACAGCAGGCAGGTAGTGCTCTCCCTAGAGGGGGAGTATTTCCCAATTTACGTTGTTTCAGATGTTACTAAAAAAAAGTTTACAAAAAAAGTTTTGTAAATTAAAACTTCCCACTACATGTGGTAACAAAACTGTCAAAGAAGCAGGAGGCTAGGAAGCTTCAACTTTCATGAGGCTACCTCAAAGTAAGAGCAAACTATGTGGAGGAGGGAAAAACTCACTTTTTTTTTTCCCTTGTTCTCTGTTATTTCAGGGTTTACACTGTGATTTTGCTTGTCTAATGTTCCATTATTTAGTGAACAGACCGTCAGAAGAGCGGGTGCGTGAGATCATCGTTAATGCTGTTGAAATCGAGCAGGTAAGCTGGCTGGGACAGCGTGGTGTGCAGTGCAGGACCAGTCTTATGTACAAAAATACAGAAATTCCCTTCTGACTCTTGGGATTCCATATTTGATACTTCACTTAGGCCTGGATCCCTGATGCATTAATCCACCCTTTCCCTTTTCCTTAATGGTGACAATAAGAGTCAGAGACTTTCTGATGCAGTTGTCAAGCAACTGGGAGAAGCTGAAGATAGCAGCTGGTTTCCCCCTTAACGACAGAAAGGAAGTCAGTCTGTCTTATTTAGTGAGCAGCGTAACTGTAACTTCTCTGCAGAGCTGAGGACCAAAAGACTGAGGTTTTTCTTGAGCTCCGCTGGCATAATTCCAACACAGAGCTGTTATGAAGGGTAAGGCTTGGGGCACGCAGCACCTGCACCAAAAGCCAGGAAATGCAGTTAGAAAAGCAGTGGCCATAAAAAGAATCCACAATGGAAAACTCCACAAACTGTTTTCCGATGTGCCCGAACAGATAAATGGTTAATGCTCGATATGTTTTTTGAGCTGTAGGCTCCGTTCCCAGGCTGTTCTTTGAGCTGGTGCATCTCTGATTCTTAAAGGTGCAAAGGTGCTGGGAGCACCAGGCTCAGGTGAGAAGCCAGACACGTCCTGCATCCTGCTGGTGGTGTTACCCTGGTCAAAACCACGGGAAGCCCCACAGCAGGCAGGTAGTGCTCTCCCTAGAGGGGGAGTATTTCCCAATTTACGTTGTTTCAGATGTTACTAAAAAAAAGTTTACAAAAAAAGTTTTGTAAATTAAAACTTCCCACTACATGTGGTAACAAAACTGTCAAAGAAGCAGGAGGCTAGGAAGCTTCAACTTTCATGAGGCTACCTCAAAGTAAGAGCAAACTATGTGGAGGAGGGAAAAACTCACTTTTTTTTTTCCCTTGTTCTCTGTTATTTCAGGGTTTACACTGTGATTTTGCTTGTCTAATGTTCCATTATTTAGTGAACAGACCGTCAGAAGAGCGGGTGCGTGAGATCATCGTTAATGCTGTTGAAATCGAGCAGGTAAGCTGGCTGGGACAGCGTGGTGTGCAGTGCAGGACCAGTCTTATGTACAAAAATACAGAAATTCCCTTCTGACTCTTGGGATTCCATATTTGATACTTCACTTAGGCCTGGATCCCTGATGCATTAATCCACCCTTTCCCTTTTCCTTAATGGTGACAATAAGAGTCAGAGACTTTCTGATGCAGTTGTCAAGCAACTGGGAGAAGCTGAAGATAGCAGCTGGTTTCCCCCTTAACGACAGAAAGGAAGTCAGTCTGTCTTATTTAGTGTAGAACAGAATAGTTCCAGTTGGAAGGGACCTACAACAATTATCTAGTCCAACTGCAACTGTCCCTTAGAGAAGAGTTTGTTTACCTCTGTCCTTTCAAGATCTTTGTCTCTCCCTGCTGTGCACACATCCCTGCTTGTCCTCAGGAGAAGACAGAGTCTGTTCTGGCCACATGTACCATGATGGGCTCTGACTTTTTCTGAGGTTGCTGTCGGGTTGTTTCACATGAAGTGCTACCCCTCTGCAGCTACAGGTTTGTGCACTGCTGAGTGTTTGCCATGACTGTAGCTTACTCTTTTCCTTTCTGTTGCCATCTAACTGCTGTGATGATGACAAGTGCCCCAGCTTTGCCTCAAAACACCGACAGGTATTGCATCAGTGCCTGAACACGTACGTGTCTGGGTTCAGCTCTCATATCTATCACTATGCTCTCCCATCTCTCATTCTGTGATTTCTGGAAGCCAAGGAAAACTGGAGATTTCTGGATCTATTCCTGCTCCCACTAGTATGGTCTGTAGGTTTTACTGAACTTGGAGCTCAAGTTTACAGTGAAGCTTGGGATCTTGTGGGGAATGGGGAAAGGCAGATGAGAGGGGGAGTAATAAAAATTCTTGTGCCTTTCCCAGAAAAACATACTAAAAATAAAGGAAGCTACGAACAGCTACTGAAAACAGAAAGACACTTGTTGAGTTTCATGATGCAAGTTATTTATTCAGACAACTGCCTGGGGAGCCTGGAATATCAGAAATTGTGTTACTGTGGTGTCTTTTCTCTGTTTCCCTTCTTAAATTTCATTTCTCTAAATGTCATCTGTATTTTAATTTCTAGGAGTTTCTAACAGAGGCGTTACCTGTAGGTCTGATTGGAATGAATTGCACTTTGATGAAACAATATATTGAATTTGTCGCAGACCGGTTACTAATGGAGCTTGGCTTCTCAAAGGTAAGACATGCAATTGCCCAGAATGCTGGCCTGCCAGGACAACTCAGGAAAACTGTAAGCACAAAGCTCTCTCTTAATGTCCCTGGGAGCAGGTCGTATTTAGTGCTTGCAATTTCCCTGAGTGACAGCTGAAACCACAGCTTTAATGTATGTGCTTCACTATTTAAAAGAGCAAGAACAATTCAGGCCATTGTTTCCCTTCAGCTGCTCTGCGGGTTTGTAACGGGAAACCTAATGCTGTGCTCAAGTGCTGTGGTCCTTGAAGGATAATCAGCACCTTGCGTGGGGGAGCTTCACTGTGGACCCAACTCCTGGGGAGTGACAGTACTGAATTTGCTTTGATAGGTGTCCACAGGTTCTACAGCATATTACAGCAAGGGATGGTCCAGTCTGAAGGGCTTTGACTGTTTTGTTTGGGGTTTTTGAAAGCATTGTTACCCTGTCAGAATCACCAGTGTAATAGTGTTTCCCTTCCCCAGGTCTTTCATGCAGAAAATCCTTTTGATTTCATGGAGAATATTTCTCTGGAAGGAAAAACAAATTTCTTTGAGAAGCGGGTTTCGGAGTATCAACGTTTTGCTGTTATGGCAGAAACAATGGACAATGTCTTCACTCTGGATGCAGATTTTTGACAACTTGGCAAATGAACGTTGACTGTTTCCCTCTCCCCATCTCACTTTCAGCTGAGAAGTTGTCTTCATTTCCTTTCCTGGAATTTGAGTCTACTAGGAATTTTTTTCAGGGTTTTCATGTTGTTTGTCTGAGGAGTAAATATATTGCTGTGTCATTTAAGAAAAAAAAAGAGGGGTCCTTTTTGAAAACTTTACATGGCTTTTTAAAAGGATGGCCTTTTTGATATTCCCTTGACTCATCTGCTGTGATTGCTGTCTTTAAAAATGACCTGGATACTACTGCTTTTTTAAGACTTTGGTAGTGTTTTAAGCAAACTGCATATTTGCCTCATGTTATGGTATTTCAATCTGAAAACCAGATGAGGTATCACTCTATGTATATATGTTGCTATAATTTATTTTATATTTTCATATTTATAGATTTGGTCTAGAGTAAAAGCTCTCCACTTTTGTCCTGCTGCAGATAAAGCAATAAGTGAGCCTGGGAAGACGTTAATAAGTTATGAACTATAAATTTTTATTAAACCCAGGGATATAGTTTGAAATCCTCATTAACCTGGGTTCTGTCTGAAAAAGTTTTTACTCTGTTTGCAAACCTGATGGCTGTTGGGAGGAGTTTAGATCAAACACATGTGATTTTGGTCTTACAGCTGTTATTGAGTGGGTCAGTGGCCTTTGAGTGGTCCTTGAAAAGGCAGGCCTGTTAATAGCGGAGAGAAAACACAGCCTGTAGTTCTTTGGCTTGTGCTGCCTGTTTTTCCCTGCTTTTCTAAACAAGTGCCTTATTAAGCAGTCTGTAGTTGCGCTGAGTTGCAGTCGGCATCTGCCGCTGGAGCAGCCAGCTCTGGGTGTTGTCTGTCTGCCCTCTGTCCTGCTGGGTGGTTTGATATTCTCCCCTTCTCAGTTTCACTTGTGCATTGATGGGGTGAGAAGGCGCATCATTCCAAGGGATTATCCCTTGAGGTGCTACAAACGTACTGCTTGGCTTCTAAGGGAGCACCAATAATGTATGAAGGCGCTTCAAGTTGCGTGTTTAATGTGAACCTTTGAAACCGTTGTCACTGCAGAGCTCCTGGAGGAAGCAAAACCAAATTTTGCAGTAGTATGGATTAGCAGCATCTTACAGATGACTGCTGTTTGGGTTTTGCTCTGTTCCAGTGTGTGCCTGAAAACTTTTTTTAATTTCCTGTTGTCATATGCAGGGAATGGAGCAATTGAAGAATGGCTAACGTGCTGCAGTGGTACTTGGGATGGGAGGGGTACTATTCCGTTGTAGGTGGATTATTTGCAAATAGATATGCTCATTTTTTTCCAAAGGTGAAGTGAGTGAACGTGAGCCAGGTTCTGCTTTATTAAACCTGAGTTCAGCAATTTGTATAAAAGCTTTTATAAGTCTTTGTTGTTGTTGCAGACATCTTGTGCTACTTTTGATGCTACTGGCATGAGATGAGCTGGCAGCCCAGGGTTATCAGTGATGGGATGGTATAAGGGTTACTTCTCTGCCAGCCCAGATCAGCCATAGTCCTGGATACCCGAGTTCCATGAAAGAGGTCCACTGCCTTCGCGTGCTTCCCAGGGAGCAATTGTCTGTGGTGTAAAAATAAGCAGCAAAACTCACTCTTTTTGTTTGGTCTCAGTAAAAGATGGATATTTAATGAGCGTGGAAACAGGACAGCTTTTTTTTTTCTAGAGAAGAACTGGAATTATTTGACATAAGGTACTTAGATGGGGCAGAGGGGGACCTGGAGAACACAGAGAAAAGCTGGAACTGGTGCCCCTCACTAATGTCCTGCAACTACAAGAGAACTATGGACTTGGGGAGAAAATCCAGCACCTTTTGGAAATACTGTGTTCATGAGGGAGAAAGAGGTCTGTTGTTGGAGGAATGAAACCTATTTTTATGTCGCTAATAGCGTTTGTTTTGAGTGTTGTGAATTATGATGAGAGTATACAGAATATTCAGTTATGAAACTGCGATGTGCTCAGGTTCTGTAAATGTGTATGAGATACCAAAGTCTGATACAACAGCTCCCACTGCATTTGTGTGTAAAATACGTGTGTCGGTTCAATAAACTTGAACGTGGAGAAGGAGCATGTCTTTGTTTCCTAGTTACATGCTTTCTTGTGAAATCCAGCATGATAAAATTGGGCTGTGACAGGGTGAGTCGGTGTTCACAGCTTTTCGGTCGTGGCAGAAAGTTACGAGTGCTCCATACGCTGTCTTGCACTTTGTGATGAGCTCTCAACTTGCTGTTTCTTGTTCCCAGGAGTGGGGCTCGCATTCTAGGGAGGAAACAAATATATTTTTTTTTTTCTGGAATTTTCTGTCTCGAGGAGAAATCTCTTGGGAGTCCCGTAGATTTAAAGAAGAAACGCTCCAGAGATGTAAAGTACCACGGTGGGTGGTATCTCATATCTGATGTATCAAGGGCATTGCACCCTCAGGTTGGGTGCCCCAGCTGTGATGGGGTACAGCAGTGTGGGGCTCAGCCCCAAGCTGGGACCAGCCAGGGCTGCCAGGCGCCGGGCAGCTGGGGCTGAGCTGGCAGAGGTTCACACCTAATGGCATCTGCACCCTCAGGGGTCTCAAGTCAAAAGTCTTGTCCCTGCTGCCCTTTGTGACTCTTTGGCATAGGCATGAAGGGCAAAAAGTCCCTTCCTCTCCCACCGGCACTGGGGCTTGGGCAGAAACCATGTGCTTCTGAGGGCTCTGGTGGACAAGCTGGGTCTGGCTCTGCGTGTCTCACACTGTGGCCATCACTTAAAAACCCTGATGGAGGTGTGCGTGGGAGAGAAGTTGGGATGCATCCCTTCAATATGTAGTTTGTGTTCAAGGCTGGTGCATGACTCCCGTTGCAGGCAGTGGGACAGAGAAGGTGCTTCTGGAGGGGATCGTCTCATGGTGAAGGACATGTCTGCAATGGTCAGGTGAGCAGAAACCTGTCTCTGGGGGCTGCATAGGGAACTCAGGCTCACGGGTAGAACCTGACCTTTTAACATCCCAAATGGCCTCTGTAGCTCCTGCTGTTCTCGTTCAAGCAGACAGGTGGGTCCTAGCAAAACCCAGGCTTGATTAGTGATAGCCAGGGGCAGACAGTGTGCTCCCAGCCCTGCTCCCTGGTCCTGAAACCACTGCAGAGTACAGTCAGTCAGTGACTACTCCAAGCCCTTGCTGGGAAAGAAAAGGAAGTGGGTGAAGACAGGGCAATTAGCGAGCTCGCTCTTAGTGTCTCTTGCCAGCCCTGTTGTGCACTGGTAGGACTTTCACAGCAGATGAGGATGCCGTGTCGCGGCAGCACACCCTGCCCGGCCAACAGTGTGCTGATCCAGTCCTGCCACCTTTCTCCTCCTTGCCTTTGAACGCTGTTAAACAGCAAATCTGGCCTCCCAGCCAGTCACTCCCCAACCTGCAAAAGGAGCACCTTCTCTCTCGCTCTTCTGAGGGGACAATCTGAGCTGTTTTTCCTCCTGGTGGAGCCCTTGAGTCGGCAAATATTAATGTTTCTGTCGCCGTACTCTCTAAGAGCTGGTTCTGGGAGAGAAACAGTCCCGGGGGATGCTGCTGTGTTAATATTCCGTGTAGCCGAGAAGGTGTTTGCCAGGAGGATGGGTGTGTGACGGGGGGCTCTGCAGAAACACCAACTTTATGTATGTGCACATCGATGTACACGGCTGGCACACGCAGACGTACGCGCTGCATGTATGCACCAGCAGAGCTGAGGGGAGAAGCCTTCCAACGTCAGATTTCAGCAAACCCTCTCCCTGGAGCAGAAGGGTGAGATGGGCACCAATACAGCTGTTAAGGGACGCTATTCCCAGTTTGCCACCAGCTGCCTGCCCTGCTCCTCGCCGCCAGGGCACGGATGACGGCAGCAGCACCGCCAGAGGCTTCTCCCATCCCATCGTTCATAATCTGGCCCTAGGAACCAAGGCTGCCCAAGCCATGAGGAGCAGAGCTGTGCTCCTCTAACCCAAATCTTAAGGTTAGTTTTTTTCGGCTTAAAAGACAAGGAAATCTCAGGAATGGTTGAGTTTGGCCAGCGTGGAACACCCGTGCCTGCTTTGAAGAACAGTCACTTTGGTGTTGGGCTGGTTGAGTGTAGCTGTGTGGATGGGCTGGGGAATGCCCTCCTGCATTTTGTCCCTTCTAAGGTGACCCTTCTGAGTGACAGACATGAGATGTCTATGTCAGGTGGTGGTGCTGCCAGTATTGCAGCTTCTCGTGGGACGCTGCTGCCCGGGGGCTCCTGCACTGCAAATCCTTCTTCCCAAATCTGCTTGAAGGGCTTTCCCGGGAAATGTCCTTCCCCTGGGGCTGATGTTGCTTTGCCCACACCATTCATCACTGCATTGGCTCCAGCGTGGCTGCTGGCAGGGTCGTGGGGACAAACCTGTATCAATAATCCCTTTTTTTTTTTTTCTCCTCGCTGTAGTACACAGTTTGGTGAAAGTTACTGTGGGACTGTCCCTGGGTCACTGTTGCAGCACCTGTAATAAGCTTGTGGTACAAGGAGGAGAGCTGCGACAGCTCATGGACCATCCTTGGCATCAAGGGTGAGGTGTTGACCTCTGCCGTGGGGACAGGCTGGCCACCTTTGGGCCTTGGTGGTGCCTGTTCCTTCAGTGAGCCCCTCGCTGCAGAGACAGGAGGGGGTCAGCACCAACCGATGATGAAAAGGGATCAACAGATTGATGAAAATAAGATATTTTGGATGCTTCCGTGACTTCACCAGCAGGGACCGACTTTAGCTCCTGTCCCTCTGGTGCCCAGTGAATGTCAGAAAAAAATCTGTGCCGGGCACAATGACTGCTGGATGGCAGTGATCTGCTCAAAGCCTGTCCCTGCAAGCCCCTCCTGATCATGCCATGTCTCCTACTCGGTGGCTACAGAGAGAAGTGAAGCTGCTGGGATGCCATAAGCAGCTCTGCACGGCTGCTTCTCTGCCCGCTCAGCTGATGCCCGGCCTGGTGGTGCCATGACCTTTCAGCTGCTGAAGTCCTGCCTGGCTTGGACACGGTCCTTGCTGAGCCCTGCCAGGAGCCCTGTGTGCAGCGCCAGATGAAAGCTCTGGGGTGAAGCACCAGGCTGACAAACCCAGGGCAGATGCTGAGAAGCACCACGTTTGCTCACCCCAACCAGGGCTGGGAGCAGGCTGTGTGGTCACAGGGCTGGTGTGGCTTTGGGGGGCTTTTTTTCAAGTGCCCCAAACAAGGTCCTCTCTCAGGTCATCCATAAGTTATTTCTTGTAGTGAGAAAGCTCCCAAAATCACATCACACTGCAGGCTCTGGGTGAATGGCAGAGTAGTTGGTGGGATTATTTTCTTTACTTGTCAGTTGGCAGATCCAGGAGAAGTGTTAAGAGCAAGTCTCAACGTGCAAATAGTTTTTACTCCTTGGATGAAAGCCTCTGGCACCGCAAACTAACTTCAACTTGAGAGCTGTGGGGAAAGTTTGGCTGCCCATTGCTGTTCCTCAGCCCACGGATGTGGTGCAGAAAGGTTTATACTCGGGTTGTTTTACGAGGAAATGGGAGAATCCTTCCCACAGCTGGTGACCATAGAGTGCAGGAGGTTCCTCAGGCTCTGTGCCCGTGTCCTGTCTGCAGGTCTGTTACCTAACGGCCTGTCCAGGATCCATTGAGTGCTGATGGTGGTGACCATCGCTGGTCTCTGCTGTGGGAGACCTCTGGAGTGGGATGGGCTGTGTTGCTGCTTGCATAGGCAGTTGTGAATGATTAATGGGAGGCAGACTGAGGTGGCACATCTGCTACCTCCTAGAAGACTGGGACCACCCAGGGAAGGGCCAAGGGCTCCTGAAGGCAGTGACATGCCGTGGGTAGGAAAAGTATGACAGGCAAAAGATGTGCTGGTGACGGTAGGAGTGAGGTTCACTCCTCGTCGCTTAGATGCCAGCAGCTGTGCTACAAAAATGACCATGCTGTCACTCACACCCTGCACTCGCTTTCCTGGTGGCTCCATCACCCCACCTCTGGGGAACTAAACCCGATGGTGAACAGCACCAATGGTGACTACTAAATATATTCAATAATAGCACCGAGTAATAATACTGGTGCTACCATCTGCTCAACTGGAAGTCACGGCAGAAGCAGCTTTGGGGGCTTGGAAAATCACTCGTGCTGAGAAAATCTACTGCCAGCGTTAAACCTGAGGAGCCCAGAGCAGAGCTGGGGGAGACCTGAGCCCTGAGAGTTTCAGCCCCACCGTGGCTATTGCCACTCTGAACTTGGCAGTGGCGATAGCGGAGGACTGAGATCCCTCAGCTTCAAGCCACAGTCCCCCTTGGTGGAGAGACCCTCATCACCCAAAGCAGGGACAGGGCATGTGGGCAAGCCTGGGTGGATGAGGGAACCAGGTGGCTTTTAGATCCCACTGCTGAGATCATTTACAGCTTTGGAAAAAATACAATGCTCTCCCAAACGGAATGTTTCATTACTAGGTCTCTAGCTTTTCCGTGGGACTGTACTGGTTTATATGTTACTGGGTTAACTTTTTCTGAGCATAGGCTTGCTTTGAAGTGTCCTGTTCCTCAGGGCATGGAATGGGACTTGGGTCTCCCATGTCAGCTGTGGGGAAGCTCCTCCAGCCCAGAGCTGGGTCCGGGGACATCTCAGCCATCTTTCAATGCGTGGGAACTCCCCCAACACCTGCCTCCCTCTTGGACATCTCAGCTCTGCAGGTAGGAGAAAACCTGAGTTGCTGGGGCTCTAGGAGAGAATGGGCTTAAAGAGGCTCCAGGAAAGCAGGGGGTGGTCCTATGAAATATATCTCAGCTGGTGAGCTCCTTATGTCTACCTAGCTATGGAGAATAATTTCCATTCATGAATGTAAGCCAGGTTAGTGAGTAGAGGCTGTTCAGGTCTTGGTTGTGGGTCCCAGGGCAGCACAGCATGATAAAACCCGTGGTGCAAGGGAGCACCAGTTTCAATCTATAGCAATGAGCATTTCTGCCAGATGAGAAGAGGCCTGCCTATCGGTTATCGATTTCCTTTTTCTTTCAATTTGAAGGGAAACAGAGTTGAATTACAGCCTATTAGGCTGACTGGAGAACTGAATGTGTTTATTGAATGACTT